GTGATTTGCAACCAGCGAGCTAGTCAGTATCACGGAGCCAGTGGTCCAAATAAATTATAGGAACATTACACATACTAATGTCATTGTAAATATGATTTCAATTTATTTTCCTGCATTCAGTGTTCATTTCAGCCTTAAGTCTAGCGTATGTCAGGTCACTGTTTTGGCTGATGCCCAGGATGATGCTTGCTTATGCCTACAGAGAGCAAAGGATGCTGTCTACAGTTCAGTTACCGGCCACCAATGTCATTAATAACAAGGTTTTCTGAAAGTTACACAGGGAACCTTTAATAAAATGGTTGAAAATAGAAAAACACAAGCAAATGAAGAAAAATATTAAGTCAATATTTAGAAGGAAAATAAATTCTTGTTTTGTATGTTTTCACAAATGGCCACTGTACATTTGTAGAGTTTCCTTTCACATGCAACCATTGTGACGCATTATCTATGATATTGTCTTTAATAATAATAATAATAATGATGATGATAATAATAATTCAGAAAACTTGTGTCAGCTGCTGTTGTGCTAATGTAAATATTTGGTAAAATGCTGATCCCCACATTATCCATTAATATTGCTGTAGATATTCGTGGATGTGAGAGAATGTTGCTAGGCTGACAAGTCTCTTAGCTGTTGCCTGGGTAATTTTTCCCACCACTGACCACCGTTATCAGCCAAGCAGCTGAACCTAAAGAAACACAAATGTATGGTTTCTTGCGATTTGTGATGAATAAATGGCTTACACAGTGCCAAAGTTGTAATGTTTCATAATGTAATTGAATTATTTACCATGTCATGTCAAATTATCATATGTTCTAATAATGCAATATACAAAGTAGGTACATGGATGCTGGGCAGCTAGCTTATCTTGTGCAAGTCAATGTGTTACATCTTATTTATTAGTACACTGATGTGGATTCTAAACAAAATAAAGAATGAACTATATAAAAAGCAGTTTTTTGGAGTTCTGCCATGAATCATGCAGTCCATAACTGAAAAACCCAGACATCACCAAAACAATACTGAGGGTATATAGCCTCCACTGCACAGAGGGCTTTTTCACATAACTACCAAGATAGCAGATTAAGATGGGATTAAGATTAGCAGATAGCAGCTGCACCCTGCAGTAGAAATATGGATGGAGAGGGGAGGAGAGTAGAGCTGTGTTGTGTTGTGTTTGGAGGAGGGACTCCAGCATTTAAAGAAGTTAGAAGTTCCTGGTTTGCAAGTAAAGAAGTCAGAGAGTCTGCAGTAAACCATCAGAGCCTCAACATGAAAGTCCGTCACACTTTGATCTGCTTCTTCTGTCACCTCTTCTTCTCCCTGAAGAACGACAATCCACCTCTGGGCTGGGATGCTCTGGCTCAATCGTGGTCCCAAGGTCTCCTTTACGCCTTTCCTCCCTTCACTCTCCTCCAGCCTCTTCTCCGAAGAGTGTGGGTGGAAGCGGTGAGGCTGATTCTGGTGGCTCCTCTTTGGCCTCACATGACATGGTTCTCAGCGACTCCGCCCCTCTTAGACGGGACTCCGTGGGAACTCCCGCATAGGAGGGACTTGCTGTCGCAGGCAGGTGTCGTAGGCCCTGTTTCATCCTTTCATCTCCGGCTGGTGGCCTTGCCCCTGAAAGGGACGCACTCGAGCGCACTCGACCCATGGCATTGCTACCTCATGGGCCTTGTGGCGGGGAGCCTCCCTTGCGGCTATATGTGCATGGTCGTCTCAGTCCACTTTCAACAGATTCTACCAGCTATCTCAGCCAGCCCCTCCTTTCATTACGCTGGTTGTCGTCTCTGTGGTCAGCCTTGCGCCTTGCGGGCTGCCCTGAGTGGCCTCCACGCATTCCTTGGGGCAGTCTTGCGTCTTGCGGACTCCCCAGCAGCCCCTCTGCCTCTCGACTTGCGGGGCCTTGACCTGGTTGGTGTGTAAATAGTGTGCATTTGTAAATAGTTTGTTTGTTTCACTATATGGGCAGCACGGTCTCCTCACCGGTGTCTTAAAGAGTTCCCCGTACATATTCCATATGGTGAAGAGATAGTCTCGACACGATAGAGAACGGTCGGTTACATTGTAACCTTGGTTCTCTGAGTGGAGAGACTATCTCTCCAACTGCAGGCCGCTCGGAGACTATCAAACTATCAGTGATTTCACGCAGCGCAGGTGCTTTTTAGTTTACCTATGGGGCGTGCCCGGGCAAGCCGGTGTGTCTTAAAGAGGTTTCCACGTTCCACGTACGTCTCTCCACTCAGAGAACCAAGGTTACAACGTAACGGACCGTTCAGACAGTAACGATTGTTGTTCATTCTTTCAGCAGCTCTGCAGGATGGAAACACTGGTCTCGCCAATGCCCAAATCCCAGCTGTGTTTACAAGAACTGAAGGAGGAGATATCACAGTTACATGCCACATTTCTTCACCTGGAGTCAGGAAGTTCTTCTGCAAGAGAGAATGTAAACCAGAGGACATCCTCATTGAAACAACTGGTGTCAGAGATCAGAGAGGCAGATACAGCATCACGTATGACAGAGGAGGAAATATTTTCGTGAGCATCACACAGCTGACCAAGTCTGACTCAATACAGGACAGTACAGGTGTGGTCTGGACAAATCAAACTTCGAGTTTGAAATCATTGTTGTAGATGGTGAGTTTCTACTAAAAGTCATGAAAATGTTTCTTTCCTGTCTGAAGAAAAGCTTCACTGTTCACTGGTTGATTTACTTTTTATTGGCATCTCTGTGAACTGATTATGCGTTTGTAATGCTCATTTAAAACCAAACTGAATCAGTGACACACAAAAACACACTGTGACGACAAGAGTGACAACATAAAGGAATCGCAGATACAATGAACTCAGCAAATCAAAGTTTATTCCACAAACTAAAAAGAACAAACAAGTAACCAAAAAACAGACATCTGTTTTGTTTTTCTGTTTTCAACCCATAACTGGAGCTGCGTTTTGTTCCATCTTTGACCGGTGTTGTATCCCTACAACCCGTTCTCACTCCCCAACTCGTCACATATGGCATGATCAAGGCCTATCGGTGTCTGTTTGTAATGTACTGGGTCCCTATAGCGTCATAGGTCAACCATGTCAGTTTGTGATGGTAAAGGCAGGAAGGCTATATGATATTTAACAGTAAAGACTGAGTAAGACTGTGGTTCTTTTCAAGTTGCATCTCATATCAACTATGGCGAATATGATTGTAGAAGTCAGCACTATAGGCCTATTATAGCCACATAGGCTTTGAAAAAAGAACTACGGGGGAGCCAGGGGGAGCTTTACTCCTCTTAATAAGACATGAGCTCCCCTGACATAATTTGTAATCTTTTGGAGGGTCTCTTAAAATATCGACAATTTTCATTTCTATTTTTCTGTAGTCTATCAACATGGATAATGCAAATCAGGCTACATCCAGCCAGAGGGATCACCGACCTCCTCTCTCTCGCACTGTAGGCTCCAGTGCCCGCTCCCTCTCCGGCGGCAATGGATGGTCAGTGGTTGTTCCCTCTGGCTGGATGAAGTCTGATGCTCCTAATCTATGTGTTCCTACAGCTGGAGGCTCACCACAGCGACGTGCAACTTTCAAAATTCTTCCATCTCAGAAAACAGAGGTCAGGTCGAAACAGTGTGGGCTAAAGAGGCTGAACGAAAATTACCCAAACCTTTTAATCTGTGGATGATTCGTTAATATACAGCTTGCTGGCTTAACTAGTATCAGTTCATGTTTGTTGTGTACCATTGGATGTACTGACTAAAGAAATCTTAAAAACCGGAGGATTCTCAGGAAAGTGTTCCTGTTCCAGTTGCTATTGAGTTACAAACTGAACGTTGAGCAGCCTCCGGTAGTGCAGCTATATAATATTGTCCTGTTTTTCAAACTAAAAACCCACTTATGTTGATGTTCAAGCTCATCTTAATTACATTTAATCAGGCACAGCCATCGCCCAAGTGTATCTGCTGCAGATTTATCAAGTGTAACACACAAAGCTACACAAATCGGACTCATTAAATATAAAAATCAATATATTTCCGTTGTGGTTTTAAAATGGGAAAAACCAAAAAATGACTTGGTTTTGCATTCCCTTGCTGATGTATGTGCATTTTAATGGGACATTTCTTGCTTTTGTTTTGACAATCTTTTCAAATTCTCCCAAACAAGTCCACCAGAGACAATAATGTGTTCAAAGGATAATATCTTCCACCACCAGTGTTGGAAACTGTGGTCACTGAAGCAGATGTGCAGTAGCAGAGGACAGAAGTGCTGCTAAAGCCTCTCCTGCCCCTGTTACCAGTGAAAGAAAAAGCAACTGATCTTCTTAAACATGATTTAGGAGGAGATGAAACAGACATGAAAGTGAAAGCAAAGGTCAGTTCCCTTTAGGGTGGCTTTATACAACTTTTCATATATACAGTAGTACCCACCTGTAAATGCACTTTGATGTTTGGAGTTCAAGCGGGTGCACCCACAGGTACTGTGTGTCTGTGAAAGTGAATTCCTCCAGCCTAAAATGTACCCCTTCAATTAATACTGTGCCCTCAGAGCCATGTAATGAACAGCACTGAGTGTTGCAGTGAGTGGACCTCTCAGGCTTGTACAGGCCCTAATTTGTTAGTGGAGGTTGTTAGTGTTGTATGCAGACATGACCTGCAGACATGACTCAGAGCTGAAGTACAAGTTTTATGCACTATACATACAGTATTATATTGCTCAATAATTTCAGGATGTTAAGCTCTAACGTGATGCTGTCCAACAAAAGAAAAATACAGAAAAAGAATTATAGACTTGATTGTAAATGTAGGCTTAATCTTTTTGTATTGCGTAAGAAGGGAGAGGAAGATCCTGTGATTCCACTGATATGTTTTATTTTGGACTGTGACATACTGGGGAACATACAGGATTATCACAAACACACAACAGTTTATTCACATACACTTACATACGACAGTGTTAATAAAAGTCATTCACAAATGTGCAGCTAACCTCAGACCCTGCAGTAGTAAAAAAGATGATGGAGAGGGGAGGAGAGTAGAGCTGTGTTGTGCAGTGTTTGGAGGAGGGACTCCATCATTTAAAGAAGTAAGAAGTTCCTGGTTTGGCAGTGAAGAAATCTGAGAAGCAGCAGTAAACCATCAGAGCCTCAACATGAAAGTCCAACACACTTTGATCTGCTTCTTCTTCCTCTGTGAGTATTCACTTTGGATTTCTGTCACTCTCTCTTGTTACTGTGATGTTTCTTTATTTTTCTTTGTCGGCCAGTAGTGTAACAGTTTCTCATAAGTCCTTTTATATGGTTAAACATGATGATCAGATTCAAGTATGAGTCACTTTAATGGATACGTTCACATGTTTTCCTAAAACAATCCTCACATGCCCAAAGTTTAATTAGTGGTCATTCCTCGATGTAGGAGATCCCTCAGTGTAAGTGATGGGGGACAAAATCACAATGACTTCTAAAGTTTCTGAAGTTAAGATGAGGCGTAATCAGTCTGAGTTATTCAAATCAAATTAGTATCTTCCCAAAGTCATATAAGCACCAAATGTGTGTTTCCACAGACAGTGTTTGCTTGCTGAGCAGTGGTGGAGGGATAGTAACAAAAAGAGGGACATTTGTACTAAAAAGAGGGCTAGACCCACTTGATTTATGTAAGTCAGTGCTGAAGTACCATATTTACTCTGAATACTGAATGAGGACTGCAGATTGTGTCCCTCCATCACTTTAATAAGGCTAGTATGGTCAGAAGAAACACTACAGAGAAAGCACAAAATACTCTTTCAATGTACCTATGAGCTTGAGTAATGCTTTACGAAAGACTTGAAAAACCTACCCTTCACATTATAGTTCATTACAATACTTGTTGCTTCCTCAAAATAAATTGAGGAAGGAAAATTAAGGACACAAACTTACCCAACTACCTTTACTGTTAATGAGTGTACATCAGTATCGGTTAAATTAAGGTGCAGCTGACAGAAACTTCAAACAAGTTTGCTTCTTTGCCAGCAGTCTGCAAATATCATTCTGTTTATCTTTCATTTAAAAAACGTCACACTTTTTTTCATACATGTTTGTTTTTAAGGTTGCAATTATTAATTATTATGATTATAGATTATCTGCAGATTATTTTAGTGATTATTCAATAATTGTTTTGTAAAGAAAATGTCAGATAATAGTGAAAATTGCCTTTAACATTTCACACAGCCCATCTGTTTTTGATACATCACTTTCAGGGACATTACATTGACTTACATTCATTCTCTGGAGACTTACCATAGTCTCACTGTGCTCTTGTGGTTTGTGACTTAAAAACTGACTTTGAAGATTTGCTTCACAATATTTATATTCATTATTGTTGGCTCACCTTTTAAATGCAGATTTTAGTATTTCACAGCGTTTTGTTGGTGATCCGTTACTGTTTGTTCTGCTATATGTTGTGCTATGATATATTTTTGGTCTAGGTTTGTTACAGTTTTCCACTGTTCACTAATCAGTTCTAAATTAATGTCATGCTAACAACAACAGCTTAGTAGTAGGTTTGTGTGTGTTTCACTATTGTGCGAATAGTAAAAGTTATCCTCTTTTAACTTTCATACAGTTGTATGAAAGGAGAAAAGGGAAGAAAGAAAGGAGGAAAGAGAAAAGAAGAGAAAGTACCAAAAATAACAGCAGCAAAACGTAAAAATGTACATGTTAAATGATCTGGCGGGAATCAGTTACTTGTTATCATTTACATTTTATTGATTTTATTTATACAGGGGAGAATAAAAGATGATGGCTATAAGAAGGACAGAGATGTCAAAGCAAAGAGTAACGTTCACTTGCAGTGACAGTCTATGAAGTTCAGACAATAACTATTGTTCTTACTCTTTAAACAGTATCAGCTCTGGAGGATGGAAACACTGGTCTCCCAAATGCCCCAATCAATGCGTTTACAGGAACTGAAAGAGGAGATATTACAGTTACATGCTCCTTTTCTTCATCTGGAAACTGGATGATCTTCTGCAAGAGAGAATGTAAACTACAGGACACCCTCATTGAAACAACTCGTATCATAAAACGGAGAGGCAGATACAGCATCACACATAAAGGAGGAAATGTTTTTGTGAGCATCACACAGCTGACCAAGTCTGACTCAGGATGGTACAGGTGTGGTTTGGGTGAATCTTTGTCATCAGCTTTATTCGAAAGCGTTCAAATCATTGTTGTAGATGGTGAGTTTCTAACAAAAAGCATGAAAATTTTTGTTTTTGTTGTTTGAAGAAAAGTTGTAATATTTACTGACAGCTACAAGATAATTTTGTTATCCATTTTTTTTGGTCATTTAAGGGGGGGCGGGGGCATCAAACACCTTATCAGCACAGAAATACGGATATTAAAAGTAGTAGGGATACAGACTCAAAAAGAACGGTACTGATAATTGTTAGTGACAAATACAATAGGACCACTAATAGCAATTGTAACATGTGTTGAGCAGGAACATGGAATCAGCAGTTGACTCACAACCACAGATCTAGACTCCACAGCAGAAACTTGTCATGACTGGGATCTTAATCCCCAGACCTGCTTCATGGAGGGCAGTGACAGTGGCAGTGACACTGCCCCTGAGTGTTAATAGAGGGAGAATCAAACTAGGCATGAGTCTAGGGTTGTCCCCGACTAAGGATTTACAGAGTCAAATCAGAATCGTCAAGTCCTGTCTTTGTACACGGCAATTGCGAGCGTGGGGGGGGGATTTGGATTTATTCACGGACATTGAAAACATTTATTGGAAGTTTTATTCTTTTTACATGTTTCTTTACAGCATTAAACGTTGAAATGTATATTGTAATAGGCTGTATATTAACTTATTGTGAGAAAACTGGTGGTTCTAAGTATAATCGGACGTTGAGCACCCCCATATTGCCAAAATAGCACAGTCCTTGTTTCACTGTGAAGCTTTGACTGTGAGATTGACAGTCGAATCAGGCTCCGCCCATCGAAGCATCGAATCTTTGACTATTGGGGGTCAGCCCTACATGAGTCTTATCCACTGTGCTATGGATCATGTACTCCCACCCCTTAAACATATATTCATACTCTAACTCGCACATACATACTTAACCTTGCGCATACATACTCAAATCACACATACCTTATATACTTACGTATGACAGCATGCATGTATGTGTGAGCGTGTATGTAGGCGGGTTCAAATAAAAGATTGGGTAAAATATATAAAGAAAGTTGACAACACCACCTAGGGAATATTAAAAGCCCTAGAACTCAAAGGCTACATTCAGACTGCAGGCCAAAGTGACCTAAATCAGATTTTTTTGCTCATATGTGACAGAGCCGCTATAAATGCTATAAAAGCTTCACAAAAGTCATAATAAAACATGTGGATCCCTTTCATCTCTACCTCGCTAATCATCAGCTCACAAATTCTCATTTTCTTACACCTGAAATCCAACAGATCGCGAGCTCTCTTCTGAGTTATATCGGAGACCTTTTTGAGGAGACACGCCACTCAATCACATTCTCAGTACAACTCCATGGGGAAAGCCCGTAACGGTAAAGATGGCAGTTATCCCTCCCCTCCCACTAGAAAGCCAATCCTCTGCTTTTAACAGCCAAGCGGGAAACATTTCAGCCAATCGTATGGTTCCACTGACGTAAGGGTCTGTTTTACGCGCGGTAGAACCGGTTGGAAAAAATGCTTTTTAAATCTTATTGTGAGGAAAAGTTGTCAAACTTTTTCAGTGATTTTTATCAGAATTTATTGCTGATTCTATTCATGTAGTTTTTTTGTCCTGGTGACCTGTAAAAGTGCAGTTCTGGCTCCCTGTTAATTCATTTAGATAGGAGCCTGTTCTTCTTAGTCCGAAATAGTTGCCTGGAGGTGTTGCCAAGATGGCGGCTGAGTGGCATGACTTGCCTATAAGGACTTTGGTTACATGCATGCTACTTGTCTGTGTCACAGTGGAGAGAGATCCAGTGCCAGAATCCGTAATGAAAAAGAACAGAAAGTTGCAAACACTTGTCATAATTGGAGAGAAATGTGAACCGTGAGAGCACAATGAAAAGCAGGAGTCTCCCGTGAAAATCTTGCGGGTTAGCAAGTAGGAGCTAACCGGAGCTAACCTCTGTGGCTCCTTGTTTTTACTTCTGTACAACAGCGTGCTGCGTGTGACATCGTTTTATTCTTCTGCGCATTCGGGTTACTTTAAGACCATGGTCAGTACACACTGAAATCTACAAACCGCTAGCTATGCGAACAACAAGCCTGTTGTTACGAACAACAGAATTCAGGTTTAAGGGACTTCCGCGTTCGCATCAGGTCTCTGACTGGAAGCTTCCCGCTTGGTGCAAGCAAAGGATTCAATTTTGGCCTGGGCGGCTTCTCATAAGTTTACACTTAAAGTGAAATAAAAATGTGTGTTCATATCTCTGGAAAGTTTTCATTCCCATCACTGTGAACCAGTGTTGGGCAGTAACATCTTACTGTAATATTATTATTTCCCAGTAACTAGTACTGTTGAAGCATCTGCTGAAGCAGCACAGCAAAATGAAACTTACAGAAAGAATCTCAGGCAGCTACAGTCACTGATGCTTGGACTCGTCGGGAGAGAGTGATGTTAACGTAACGTTTTGTAAAAATACTGAATACTGCTCTTATATGTGCATAAATGTCCCTTACATGTACAGAAAAACAGTAGTTCAAAAGTCGCAATTTACTTGAGTAACTTTTTTATTTCAGCCGGTGGCGTAAAGAAACCATATATGTTTTGTAGAAAACACACTCCTTGCTGCTGTTATGAACATGATATTAGTTAATAAGTCGGGAGAGACTGCTTTTTTGGTGGGTGAAGGGGGGTGGTAGTGAAGTGTTTCCCATACATTGATTTATTTGTTATCACCAAGTAATAATTAAAGTAATATTATTACTTTTTTAAAGAGTAATACGTAACTAGTTACTTCTTGCAATTTCTGAGTAACTTGACAAAAACTGCTGTGAACATTGATAAATGTTCATTTAAAATAATTCAGCTGACACATGGACACAGACTGTACACTGATTTCTCTAATCAGGATTTCTTTGTTGTTGTTGTTTATAGCTCCAACCACTTCAACAACAAAATTGTCTCTACTGGATATTACAACATCAATCCCATCAGCCTCCACAACAACAACAACAACAACAACAACACAGAGTTCAAGCTCTCAGACTGAGCAGCAGCAGCAGCAGGCTTGGACTGCATCATCTAAAGGTTCATCCACACACTGTTTGATAGATAAAATTCTATAACAGAAAGCAATGACATGTAACTATCCTACCGGCACCTAGCAAAGCCTCTCAGCCAGTGGCTCTGGAGAAGTGCCCGGTCAGAGAAGACTGTGAGGAAATAAGCCAGTGAAACATAAGCTACCTTATAGCCGGGACTTTGGCTCTCTATAGGGGTTAGATGAAGGATCGGAGTGAGCAATGGCTGTCCTAAAATCATTTGATTCAAGGTGGAATGAGGTCTAACATGACAAGGCATTTCCTGCAGCAACTGTCCCCCATTTGAAGACCCTGTGCTCCTGAATGAGCTAAAAAATCATATCCCCCTGAATCACCCAAGCTTCAGTCTTCTTCACCAGCAAGATTTAGCATAACTGTTATGTAACTGTTGTAAGTAGTAACTGTAGAAACTACTGCTCTATGGTCGCATGCAGTTACATTTTTACCTGATTTCGATTTATGGTTAGATCGTTGTCTGGAACTAAGTTTGAGGTATCCTGATTTTATTGGACATCTGCCAGCCAATCAGAAATTAGTATTTTCCATAAACATGGTATATTGCTACTAAGAAGAAAATTAAATGCCAAATACTTATTTTTCCATTTTATGTCTGACATTTTTATGTGACTTAATTAAGTGAAGTGAGCTCTGACAGACTATTTACACTTCATGGATAGACCCTGCGGGTGAAAACCTTTATAACTCTCCAATAGGAAAGAAGGCAGCGTCCCAAGGAATTAAGATTTCCTCAAGAAAAGATTCTTCTGCAGTACTTAAATATACGTGTTGTGTATTTATGTAAGCTATATTCTTTTGTTTTTAGGATTTGATATCTTGTTTAAAATAGGACAGTTATTTAGGTGTTACTATTAGTTTGACAGTCCTGCATGAACAGGGCCTCAGGTCCTACATGTTAAATCATCATTTATTAATCAGGAAGCATCTGAAAGACACCCGTTTTTCTTCTCTTCAATTTCCACCACAGGTTGGACCTCATCCACCGCTCTTCTGCTGTATGTTGTTCCGATTGTTGTCATCATTGTCATCATCTCAGGGCTGGCACTGATGATAGTCTGTATTCAGAGGAACACGAAACCTAAAGGTGAGGCAACAACGGAAACTTCCCATTTCAAAGTAAGAACCATTTGCAATAAATCTTTGTTTTTTTGTTTTTTGTGACAGTGTAGCTCTGCTCATGTAATTCTCTGGAACAAATCTGAGCAAGCATGAAACAGACTGTCCCTGAGCTCACACACCCACAAAATGTAATAAACATTTAAAGAATGTTAAAGACACAAACAAACTCAAATAAATGCTAATACATGAGGAAGTTGGGGAGGTGGAAAGACTGATATTTCATGAGCAGGCAAATAGATATTTCGAAAATACACACTTTTGTTTCCAGCTGTTTGCCAGTTTTGTAAACCTACAGTGTGCTAGTAGTTAGATCAGTATAGAGACTTCAACAGCATTTTGTAGCCATGCTAGGAGTGCGGCTCTAGAGATGGCATTGTTAGTTGGTCAGTCCATCACTGTGGTCAACAACTGTTGGATGGAATGCCATCTTTGTACAGAAAGATTTGTCTCTTGTGACTGTGGTTGGTGTTTTATCATTGGCTGCTGTCCTGTTGCTTTAACCCAACAAGGTTGACCATCCAACCTCATCTGCACTTTCAATAATTACTCATCATAATAGAGAAAAATACTTTTGTCTGTTTCACAGGTTTGCAGACCAGAGGAAGTTCAGACGGGACAAACATTGAGGTGACTTTCTTTAACTCTTTGATTACGCTCACTGTTGGATAAGATGTACCAGTGCAGGAGACAATCATTAGAGATTTTCTGAGGATTAGTATCAGGACTTATTTTATTAGATGGTATTGGATTATGTTGGATGTACGACCAGGCTGAGCCAGTTAAGCCTGGTCCCCACCTTCACCAGCTTTTTAAACTTTGTCAAAAAATACTCCATTAACTTTCTACTATAATCAATAATTTTGCAATCAAAAACTTCTCTGGAGACAGTCAAGATAAACCCGTACAACATCCCAGCAGGTCGGAGCATGATGTCAATCCTGTGGTCTGCATAGATATCCCCCTGTGGGATGGTTTGCCCCCTCCTCTCCTTATGATGAGCTTCTTATCCTTTGCTGATATGCTGCTTACACATGTTGTTTTACCAATTAACAATGTTTTCCAGCTGTCATTCATTACTGTGTTGTTGATTTTCTATATTTTTGCATTACTGGATAAGAAGTTCTCCATTATGTTTCAACTTCAGTTTCACCGTATTTTTTATAAGTTATACATGCATAAGTTGACAGACAATTACATATATATATATATATATATATATATATATATAATGTGATACAGTACCCAATATTGTACACCATGATAATCAGATTTCAATCTGTAGCACAAGGAAATGAGTAACACATCTGTTAATGTTTTGCAATATTTTATCTTTACTTATATTTTTTAACTAACCTAAAACCATCAAAATGATTAACCTATAAATCTAAAAGTTTGTAGACAGTGGATTCAAGTAGTGAGGGGTTTCACAGTGGAAAAGAAATCAAAATGTCAACAGAAACTAAATCACTTCTGCAGCATAAATTCTCTTTCTTCACTTCTCACATCACTTAGATGTTCAAAATATAGCTAAGCAGAGAACTTATTTCTCCACACTCATGCACAAACTGGTTGTTGTGTGTTAGTTTTCATTTCCTGCCTCCTGCTCTCAGGAGTCACCTCGAAAAATATATTTTAAAGGATGTAACTGTATTTCACTGTAGGTCATTCCTTGTCAAATTGTTTGTGTTTTTTGTTTTCAGATTGCCCTCTATGAGAACTGTCCTCCAGTTTGTGATTCTGAATCCACCTACGAGAGCCTCGATCCAGCCAGCAGGGATCAGAACCAGACCTACGCTACACTCACACACACACACAACACAAATGATGCTGTTTGTGTCTCACTGAGCACTGCAACTCTGCCATATACTCAGGTATTCAGGTAGATTAACGCTTTCTCACCAAGAAGCAGTCCACATGATCTTTAGCAGGTTTTAAAACTGAAAAAAGCACTTAGACCTACACGTTAGTGGTTCCATTACAGTTTGGATTCAGACCAGAACTTAAAAAATTAGACCTTCCCCGACAGTCTTGGTTTCTTGTAACAGCCTGTGGACAGATGTAAAGGGCTCAGGATTGCTTTTCTGGCTAAATCCAAAGGATGAGATGTTTATATGCTCCCGGTGCCTTCTTTTCTGCTCCCCTACAGAAACAACAAAATAACTTTTTTTTCTGTCCACAGATAACTGAAAAAAACATAAACCACCAAAACAATGTTGAGGGTATACAGTATCTCACAAAAGTGAGTACACCCCTTGCATTTTTCTAAATATTTGATTATATCTTTTAATGTGACAACACTGAAGCAGATTGAGCTTTGGATTTGGATAGATTGATCTTATACCCAGAAAATATGCTAAACTGATTGATCATCCCAATCGATGCTGGAACTGATAAGGTCAGATAAAAAACCCATCAGCATAAAGAGTTATTTTATGATGCTTTTCCTCCACTAGTTAACCATTTATAGAAGGTGCACTTCTAAGAGCCTCGGCCAACGGTTCTTGGCAAGTGCAAATTAAAGAGGCGATAGAGGGCAACCCTGCCTGGTGCCCCTATAAGTGCTTAACCCATTAGTCAATACCGCAGCTTGAGGATCGGAATATAAGACCTTAAACCATTTCACAAAATCATATCCTTGACTAAACTTATCTAATGTATAAAATAAATATGCCCACTTGACTCTGTGCTTTCTCTGCATCGAGGGAGAGCACCAATCCATCTACAGATTTCTCTTTATAGGACTGAATAACATTATGAAGACGTCAAATGTTGTGAGTTGAATTTTGCCCCTTTATAAAGCCAGTTTGGTTTTCTTTGACTGTTATAGGCAAAAGATCCTCTGGTCGAGTGACAAGGATTTTAGAAAGCAGTTTCCTGTCAACATTCAGAAGGGGTTGTCTATGAGGGGAAGTCTATGGGTCTCTATGATAACAAGATTCAGAAATACTGGCCTCCTCAAAAGTCTGTGGTAGTTCCATGGTCAAGACGGAATAATTAAACATTTCTAGCAATGGTTCCAAAATCAAGTTTTGAAAACAATACAAGCTCAAATGTACATTGAAAGAGTTTTTTCTCTGTAGTTTTTCTTCTGTCAATACTGGCCTTATTAAATTGATAGGGGGACAAAATCTGCAGTCCTCATTCTGTGTACAAATGCATTCTGAGTAAATTTGAGACTTCAACACTCTGAGTTACATAAATCAATTGGGTCTCTTACAATGGTGCCATCTTTTTAGTACGAATGTCCCTCTTTTTGTTACTGTCTTTCCACCACTGCTCAGTAAGAAAACACTGTCTGTGGAAACAAAACGTGGACATTTGGTAATAAAATGACTAATTTCATTTGAATGACTGATTCCAGTATCTAGATCTAGATCACAGGATAATCATCAGTAGATGGCGGCCGTGAGGCTTGACACAGTACAAGATGCGTTCCTGTCTGTCTCTTTAATTTTTGCGTTATTTGTATTTGAAGTGTCGTGCTTGATCCAGCACACTCAGTACACTCCAGTACACTTCTCATAGTGATCTGGGTCCATCCACATCCCTGCTGGAGAAATTACGGGATCTAAACATATCAAGCCTTTCAACATCATGGCTGCCGACCAAAAAAAGCCGCCGCTCAGGAACCTTTGCTAGGTTCAGGAGACGCCCTTATCCGCCACCGCTCCCAGCCCTCTTGTTGTCAAACGTGAGATCTCTTCGGCACAAAATGGACGGACTTCAAAGTATGATACAAACCAACAAAGACTACAGTGCAACACTGCTCTGCCATCTGTCTGACGGGGACCTGGCTGGATCAATCAGTACCCGATCAAGCGGTAACACCTCCAGGCTTCACATTACATCGTGCTGATAGATCACCTAAACTATCGCACAAGTCGAAAGGCGGTGGTATCTGCATAATGATCAATGAATGCTGGTGTACAAATTCTACAGAACTCGTCCATGTATGCTCACCTCACCTGGAATACCTCTATGTCAAATGCAGACCGTCATTCCTCCCGCGGGAATTTGCGTCAGTGATCATGATCTGTGTGTATATTCCACCTGAGGCTAATGCTATCAACACCATAGCTGAGTTAGCCAACTGCGTCTCCTCAGTGGAAAATATACACCCGGACGCAGCAGTTATTGTACTTGGGGACTTTAATCAGACTAATCTATCGGCTGAGCTCCCCAGCTACCATCAGCAAGTAGCTTGCCCTAGCAGAGGAACCAACACGTTGGACCACTGCTATACTACCATCAAAGAAGCTTACCGTGCCCTTCCGAGGGCTCCGTTGGGCAGGTCCGACCACACAGTGCTGCTGCTAATTCCACAATACAAGCAAAGGGTTAAATCCTCTTGGTCACCAACGAAACTTGTCCGATGCTGGTCCCCTGAGGCTGTCGAAAACCCCTGTGGTTGTTTCGCATGCACAGATCGGGAGGTTTTCCAGGCTGCAGGTGATCTCCATGATGTCACGGACGTAATAACGTCATATGTCAACTATTGCGTGGACCTCAGCTCACCTATCAGGAAACAAAGAACAATATATGGCTGCCAAATACAAACTGAGATCTGCAATGAGAAGAGCCAAATCCAATTATGCCACTAAACTTGAAGAACAAATTACTACTTATGACACACATTCATTTGGAAAAAACTCCAAAACATGACAAATTATAAAAAGAAGCCCACTATTACATCTGACAGCGATAATCATCTTTTTGATACACTCAACCTCTTCTATGGGAGGTTTGAGCAGGTACCTGTTATACCACCATCCACCCCCGACCCTCTCCCTGCCCCCCCTTTTACTATTTACGAGGAGGAAGTGAGGAGCATCTTCAGGGGACTTAAGAGGAATAAAGCCCCAGGCCCAGATAACATCTGTCCTACCGCTCTTTACCACTGCGCTGCAGAACTGGCTGGGGTCTTTGCCAATATTTTCAATACCTCCCTCCGTCAAAACTCAGTATCTAAGTGCTTTAAAGAATCCATTATCATCCCAGTTTTCAAAACCAAGACCATCTCTTGCCTCAATGATTATCGACCTAATGCGTTGACATCAGCAGTTATGAAGTCATTTGAGCGCATCGTACTCAGTTACCTAAAAACTGTCACCATCCCCCTCATGGACCCGTTCCAATTTGCATACAGAGCCAACAGGTCAGTTGAGGACACCGTCAACTTAGCAATTTATCACATACTGAATCACCTTGAGTCCGCAAATACATATTCCGTTTATGGATTTTAGTTATTTTAATATATAATTCAATAAACCCGGCCAGACTGCTTAATATACTACTGGACATGAATATGGACCCTTGCATCAGTTACTGGATTCATAGTTTTCTATGGAATAGGCAACAGAAGGTAAAGATTAAAAATAATACATCCTTCCCTCTGTTACTCAGCACAGGTGTACCTAAAGGCTGTGTCCTCTCACCCTGGCTTTTTCCATTTTCCCCTCTACACAAACCATTTTACATCACACCACAGTTCTGTCAACCTATATAAATATGCGGACAATACAACTATTGTAGGACTCATTACCAACAACCAAGAAACTGCATACCATGCACAGATCAACCAAGTAGTGACCTGGTGTACAGACCATGATCTTTTACTTAAGTTCTTTTATTTTTGATGTTTTATTGTCGATCTGAGACGTCAGCCATCCTCCAAAACACCTGTGCTCACTGATGGCGAACCCATCTCCATCACTGATACATTCAAATTTCTTGGGATACACATCTGTAACAATCTTAAATGGAAAATCAACACAGATAATATCTACAAAAAAGCTCAGCAAAGACTTTTTCATCTTCGACAGCTTAAGAAGTAAGGTCTCATCTCCTGCTTCTACATGACCATCATTGAAAAAGCATCTTCATCTCATCCATCACAGTCTGGTTTGGCAGTCTTGACTCATTTTCCCGGAAGAAATTACAGCGTATCATTAACAGAGCATCTAAAGTTATCGGTTCACCCTTACCATCCCTTGAATCACTCTATCACAAACGGACACTATGCAGAGCCCACAAGATAATTACTGATACTTCCCATCCTGCACATTTCGCCTTCAAACTATTGCCCTCTAGGAGGCGTTACAGGACAATAGCCTGCAGAACAACTCGCTTTAAAAACAGTTTTATTCCAAAAGCGATACACATTCTGAACTCTGATCTCTGAACGCTGAGGACAGTGGATTAAGCATGACCCCTCATGTATTATGTGCTATATAGTAATGTGGTGTCTGTAATATGTATGTATGTATGTTATTTAGACATTAACATATAAAGTATCTATTATCTAAATGTTGGAACCTGTATCACAAAAGCTGTACTGGAAACAAATTCCACCAGCCTGGCTGTGTGGTCATTAAATTAAATCAATCAAATCAATCAATTAATCCTGTTATCACGGGAGAACAGAGTTAAAAAAATGTCTGAATAGATGCCCACTTAGGGCTTCCGTACCTTGCTGCTGTTATGAATATGATGATGTGTTCTTATTCAGATGTCATGTTGTTCTCTGATGAATTCTGCTACTAGTTTCTGCAGCAGCATTTCCACAATATAATCCAGCCAATTGAAAATTAATGTAAATCAATTTAAACTAAACTAAATGTTTACTATCCATTATTTGTTGTTGCTCATTTATGTATTTCATGTTAGAAAGCAAGTGAATTGGAAAACAGCTAAAAGTGTAAAAACAGCAGCCACCATAACAACTGCTGTAGAGTCAGTTCATCTCATCTTCACCTCTTCTGCTCACTTGATCTCTCTGTATTGTTCCTTGTACCTTCTGTCACCTCTTACACCACCCTCATTAACCTGCAGTTTGTTTTACAGTTAGTGTACAACACAGGAAGTACTGACCACCAGGGTTCTCTGTTCATCTTTCCAACAGCACTGTGTGGTGTTATACACTGTGTGTGTGTGTGTGTGTGTGTGTGTGTGTGTGTGTGTGTGTGTGTGTGTGTGTGTGTGTGTGTGTGTGTGTGTGTGTGTGTGTATGTGTGTGTATGTATGTGTATATATATATATATACATACATACATACAGTCCACATTGGGCCATATCAGCCATTTTCCTTCGCTGGTGCCATGTGACTCGTTAGTGAGGTCTCAGGTGTGAATGGGGAGCAGGTGTGTTAAATTTGGTGTTATCGTACTGGTCACTTCAACATGGCACCTCATGGCAAAGAACTCTCTGAGGATCTGAAAAAAAGAATGCTTGCTCTACATAAAGATGGCCGAGGCTATAAAAAGATTGCCAAGACCCTGAAACTGAGCTGCTGCACGGTGGCCAAGACCATACGGCGGTTCTACAGGACAGGTTCCACTCAGAACAGGCCTTGCCATGGTCGACCAAAGAAGTTGAGTGCACGTGCTCAGCATCTCTTACGTAATCTTAAATGCATGCACAAGTGAAAATCCGTTTTAAATGCATCACTCCAAATGCAGAATACATTAAATCAATTCATTTTAACACTCATCCTGCTCTCATTTCTTTCTGACGTTAAAAAGGAGAGAAAAGGCCTTCCTCCTGCTCCTTTAATCACAGATAAGGCTGCTTGTCTCTTCACAACTGTCACATTAGCAAATATTGCCTTCTTTGCAGTTCAAAACAATAATTTTGACATCATCAGGGGATATGTATAGAGAATGTTATCTCAAAATACAAGTTTTAAAACTTATTAAAAAATATTATAAACTCAGAATAATATAAATTTAAAGCTGAAAACTCCTCTTATCTTCACACCTCTTTTCACGCTTCCCTTCGTGTGAGACGCCTTTTTTATTTATCTTAAGGGTTGAGTTGCCAGCAAGAGCGAACTTTCGCTTCCTCTTTACTGGGAATCAACATATATATAATCTGAAATATGATCATGTACAACAGTAGCTCTCTGGAGGTTGAGCAAATGTCAGGGCAGAAGAGACTGCAGAGACACACTAAAACATAAAACTGTATTTAAAAAAAAAAAACGTCTTCCTCACTTCATCTCTGTACTCTTGCAATCCGAGCTAAGCAGTCAACAATTATCAGTCTTAAAGCACAGGTCATCAGAGTTAAAGCACAGGCAAATCATATGGCTGGTATATGTGTCAGGGAGTCAAATTCTTTCTATGAAGGCCTCCAAAGAACCAGAACCAGTTGCTTCCAGTGTCCTTTTCTTCACACTTTTCTCATTCTCGCAACAATATATATGCACAAACACATTTTGAAGCATAATGAGTGTATTTATAGCTTTTGTAATAGCTTTTCTTTTTTTTATGATGTACTTGATTGTGCTTTTCAGAGGTTTTCTTAAAACCTTATTTTTACTAAAATGTGATATAGTAAAGTTCCCTGCAACCCTGACCATCTGACCATCTTCCTGACTGATCAGACAGAGTGGAAGGAGTGAAGTGATAGAGGCAGTTCTACTTCAGTTGAATGATTTGTCTCCATCAGGATCAAATTCAGAATGAATATCCACCATGTTCTGTTCTTCTGCTTCTTCTCAGGTGAGGACTGATTACCTGACTGTCTCTTTAAAGCTGTATCACACACTTTTTGGTCACTGTGTTCTTTATTCAGGTGTCCTGTTGTTCTCTGATGTTTTCTGTTACTAGTTTCACAATCTAATCCATTTGAAAATAAATGTAAAGCAATTTAAACTAAACTTAATATTCATCATCCGTTATTAATAGCTGCTCATTTATCTAGTTAATGTTAGAAAGTAGGTGAACCCTGGCTTTTTCCATTTTCCCCTCTACACAAACCATTTTACATCACACCACAGTTCTGTCAACCTATATAAATATGCGGACAATACAACTATTGTAGGACTCATTACCAACAACCAAGAAACTGCATACCATGCACAGATCAACCAAGTAGTGACCTGGTGTACAGACCATGATCTTTTACTTAAGTTCTTTTATTTTTGATGTTTTATTGTCGATCTGAGACGTCAGCCATCCTCCAAAACACCTGTGCTCACTGATGGCGAACCCATCTCCATCACTGATACATTCAAATTTCTTGGGATACACATCTGTAACAATCTTAAATGGAAAATCAACACAGATAATATCTACAAAAAAGCTCAGCAAAGACTTTTTCATCTTCGACAGCTTAAGAAGTAAGGTCTCATCTCCTGCTTCTACATGACCATCATTGAAAAAGCATCTTCATCTCATCCATCACAGTCTGGTTTGGCAGTCTTGACTCATTTTCCCGGAAGAAATTACAGCGTATCATTAACAGAGCATCTAAAGTTATCGGTTCACCCTTACCATCCCTTGAATCACTCTATCACAAACGGACACTATGCAGAGCCCACAAGATAATTACTGATACTTCCCATCCTGCACATTTCGCCTTCAAACTATTGCCCTCTAGGAGGCGTTACAGGACAATAGCCTGCAGAACAACTCGCTTTAAAAACAGTTTTATTCCAAAAGCGATACACATTCTGAACTCTGATCTCTGAACGCTGAGGACAGTGGATTAAGCATGACCCCTCATGTATTATGTGCTATATATAGTAATGTGGTGTCTGTAATATGTATGTATGTATGTTATTTAGACATTAACATATAAAGTATCTATTATCTAAATGTTGGAACCTGTATCAAAAAGCTGTACTGGAAACAAATTCCACCAGCCTGGCTGTGTGGTCATTAAATTAAATCAATCAAATCAATCAATTAATCCTGTTATCACGGGAGAACAGAGTTAAAAAAATGTCTGAATAGATGCCCACTTAGGGCTTCCGTACCTTGCTGCTGTTATGAATATGATGATGTGTTCTTATTCAGATGTCATGTTGTTCTCTGATGAATTCTGCTACTAGTTTCTGCAGCAGCATTTCCACAATATAATCCAGCCAATTGAAAATTAATGTAAATCAATTTAAACTAAACTAAATGTTTACTATCCATTATTTGTTGTTGCTCATTTATGTATTTCATGTTAGAAAGCAAGTGAATTGGAAAACAGCTAAAAGTGTAAAAACAGCAGCCACCATAACAACTGCTGTAGAGTCAGTTCATCTCATCTTCACCTCTTCTGCTCACTTGATCTCTCTGTATTGTTCCTTGGACCTTCTGTCACCTCTTACACCACCCTCATTAACCTGCAGTCTGTTTTACAGTTAGTGTACAATACAGGAAGTACTGACCATCAGGGTTCTCTGTTCATCTTTTCAACAGCACTGTGTGGTGTTATACACTGTATATATATATATATATATATATATATATATATATATATATACAGTCCACATTGGGCCATATCAGCCATTTTCCTTCGCTGGTGCCATGTGACTCGTTAGTGAGGTCTCAGGTGTGAATGGGGAGCAGGTGTGTTAAATTTGGTGTTATCGTACTGGTCACTGGGAGTTCAACATGGCACCTCATGGCAAAGAACTCTGAGGATCTGAAAAAAAGAATGGTTGCTCTACATAAAGATGGCCGAGGCTATAAAAAGATTGCCAAGACCCTGAAACTGAGCTGCTGCACGGTGGCCAAGACCATACGGCGGTTCTACAGGACAGGTTCCACTCAGAACAGGCCTTGCCATGGTCGACCAAAGAAGTTGATTGCACGTGCTCAGCATCTCTTACGTAATCTTAAATGCATGTACAAATGAAAATCCGTTTTAAATGCATCACTCCAAATGCAGAATACATTAAATCAAGTCATTTAAACACTCACCCTGCTCTCATTTCTTTCTGACGTTAAAAAGGAGAGAAAAGGCCTTCCTCCTGCTCCTTTAATCACAGATAAGGCTGCTTGTCTCTTCACAACTGTCACATTAGCAAATAGTGCCTTCTTTGCTGTTCAAAACAATAATTTTGACATCATCAGGGGATACGTATAGAGAATGTTATCTCAAAATACAAGTTTTAAAACTTATTACAGAATATTATAAACTCAGAATAATATAAATTTAAAGCTGAAAACTCCTCTTATCTTCCCACCTCTTTTCACGCTTCCCTTCGTGTGAGACGCCTTTTTTATTTATCTTAAGGGTTGAGTTGCCAGCAAGAGTGAACTTTCGCTTCCTCTTTACTGGGAATCAACATATATAATCTGAAATATGACCATGCTGATAATGTTTCACATAAAACTGCTCTCTGATAGCACTGCCATTTCTATATTTATACTCCACACACATACATGCACTTATGCTCAGTCTCACATCTAAGACTGTGACCTGTTGTGCAGTGATGTGTCAACCTGAGCACAGGTAATCACGAACAAGAAACACATAAGTCTCTTACTGATCCGACCATTTGTCTTTAAATTTTAACAGGACAAGGGTGTTGAAATTATTTCGCGTGTGTGTGATTTAATAAAATTTTCAGTCAACATATTCTGGATCAAACTAAAGATAGCAAACCAACAGAAAGAGAGATAGAGGAAGGAAATATAAAATTAAAGCACATTCATCTTCCTGACTGATCAGACAGAGTGGAAGGAGTGAAGTGATAGAGGCAGTTCTACTTCAGTTGAATGATTTGTCTCCATCAGGATCAAATTCAGAATGAATATCCACCGTGTTCTGTTCTTCTGCTTCTTCTCAGGTGAGGACTGATTACCTGACTGTCTCTTTAAAGCTGTATCACACACTTTTTGGTCACTGTGTTCTTATTCAGGTGTCCTGTTGTTCTCTGATGTTTTCTGTTACTAATTTCACAATCTAATCCATTTGGAAATAAATGTAAAGCAATTTAAACTAAACTTAATATTCATTATCCGTTATTAATAGCTGCTCATTTATCTAGTTAATGTTAGAAAGTAGGTGAATTTGAAAACAGCTAAAAGGGCAAAAACAGCAACTACCATAACAACTGCTGTAGAGTCAGTGCATCTCATCTTCACCTCTTCTGCTCACTTGATATCTCTGTTTTGTCCCTTGTACCTTCTATCACCTCTTACACCGCCCTCATTAACCTGCAGTCTGTTTTACAGTCAGTGTACAGCACAGGAAGTCCTGACCATCAGGGTTCTCTGTTCATCTTTCCAACAGCACTGTGTGGTGGAAACACTGGGCTCGTCAGCGCAAAAGTCAACATTTATACAGGAGCTGAGGGAGAAACTGGTACAATTAATTGCAACGTGTCTCTGTCTGGAAGCAGGAAGTTCTTCTGTAAGAACGAATGTAAAGCAGAAGATATTCTGGTTAAAACAGATGATGTCAGAGCTCAGAGTGGCAGATACAGCATTGAATACAGAGATGGATCTTCTGGAAGAGGAATTGTGTCTGTGACCATCACAAATCTGACCAAGTCTGACTCAGGACGGTACAGGTGTGGTCTGGGCGGGACTTCGGTTCCAGAATCATTCAGTGACTTTGAGGTCAGAGTTTCAGATGGTGAGTTTCTACTGAAAGTCATTAAACCGGATATATTTAGTAATTCAACATGTTTAGTTTTAGATTTTTAAAGCTTAGGAAAAATATACATTTAAATTGTGGGGAGAATGTGAGTGATTTATGATGTATGGACTCTCAATTTATTGATATTAGATCAAATGATTTCCCTTCTAGTCACAGCCTGTGGTTGAACTGGGCAGCTCTCAGTGTGACTCTGTGGATCTGTGTTAATGTGAAGCAGGAAGTACTGTGATCAGACGCGTCTTACAGGAAGAACAGAAAGTAACTAATGATTGTTTCTCTTTTCAGCAACTGGAATCTCTGGTTTTCTCCATACATATACTGAAGGAGAAAACGTCACACTGGGATGCAGCGATACTGTCTATGGAAGGCAGAAGTTCTTCTGTAAAGGTGAATGTAAAAAAGAAGAGGACATTATCATTGACACAGATGGGAACAGAGCTCAGAGTGGCAGATACAGCATAAAGTATGAAGCAGGATCTGTATTTGGACTGTATGTGAGCATGTCAGGTGACCAAGTCAGACACAGGACAGTACAGGTGTGGTTACGGCAGAGCTCTGTCTCCAGATTCATACCGCAAGCTTCAGATCATGGTCATAGATGGTGAGTTTTTGTTTTATTGAATGTCATAAAAATGTGTCTTCATAACCCATCTACCTCCTGTTCAGAGCACGTTAATTTAATTAAAAAAAAGTCCAAGGTGGATGTGATCCAGAAAGGGTTAATGGTGTGCAACTTAAACCCCAGCAGTATATTTTAATGATCAGATTTGCATTGATGATAATGGTATGGACGGACCTTCATCGCCAGATCCCTACCGGGAGTTTGAGATCTTTGTCTCAGATGGTGAGTTTACACTTAAAGTAAAATGAAAATAAATGAGAATAAATGTTTGTTCATGTCTCTGGAGGTCTGAAGAAATTTTTCACTGACAGCTGCTGATGTATATCCCCAGTGAACTCGGATAAATGTTCATTTAAAACCGTTCAGCTGACACACAGACACAGACTCATTTCTCTCATCAGGATTTCTGCATGTTTATGTTCACAGTTCCAACCACTTTAAAACCAACATCGACTCTACCGGTCTTTTTAACATCAGACCCATCAGTCTCTACACCAACACAGATTTCTCAGACTGACCAGCAGCAGACTGGGACAGCATCACCTCGAGGTACATCCACACACTGTTTGATGAAAATCTAAGACTGAAAGCAATGACATGCAATTGTCCTTTCAGCACCTAGCAAAGCTTCTCAGCCAGTGGCTTTGGAGAAGGTCCCAGTCAAAGCTGTGAAATGTGTGCATTGTCTCTGTGTGCATGTGTGTGTGTTAATGTGTGTATGTACAATAGATCTGCATGTTTTTATGCAAGTACATAACTGAAGTGCTTGTTTGTACATTATTCCAAGGAATAGCTCCATCAAACACAAATGACATCCAGATTTATACATCACACTCCACTTATTACAGATTTGTACAAGCGACTAACCGTCCCAGTTTCCCCATCACTCATCGTGCTGGGGGACCTAAGTGACATTAGTATAGAGGTTGACACATCATACATGCTTCTCACTGCCTTATGCATCGCCAAGAAAACTATCCTCATGAACTGGAAGGCCAAAAAGAATATTATTATTATCACCCAATATCGGAATCACCTTATAGATCACATTAGCAGGCAGTAAATGTCTGCTGTAAAAAAAACAAAGTGACACAATTCCAATCTCTCTGGTCCCCTTTGATCAACTTTATCACTTAATGGGGGTGGGTGTGTCCTGCCTTGCTGGTCAGGGTCCCGTATGGCCGGTAGGTGTGTCTGCGGTGCGGGCGTGGGGGACTGTTTATTTTATTTTTTTAATGTTGGTTGATGGCGTGGTGTTGGCGGGGGGCGGTGGTGCGGCGCTCGAGCTGCCTAGGACGGGGGGACCGGTGTTCGCCCTGTATTCGGCGTGCCGCTGCTGCGGGGTGGGTAGCCACTCTGCTTGGGTGTCGCGCGGTTGTTGGTATCGGTGCGCGGGTGGTGATTTTGACTCGCGCGCTGTGCGGATGTGGTGGCGCTCGGTGCTTGGCTGCTTGGATTCATTGTGCTTTTTCCCTGGGCAGGGTCTCTGAATGGCTGCTGGGCGTTTAGTTTGTGCATTGGAGTCCGGGGGAGGCATTTCCTCGTTGGCTTGGAGGGACCTGTTTGCGTCCCTGTTTTGCTTCATTGGCCTCGGATCCGTGCTTCCCCATTTCTCTGTCGGCCAGTTGTTGGACCCCTCTGGATACTGAGGTATATAGTTAGTTTTCGAAATGTGCAGTGTGGGTGCGTGCAGGGCTGTGCAGGGCAGTTCTTGGCCCTTGACAGGTGGGTGGGTTGGTGGTGGCATGCAGCTGAGCTAGTTGATTTTGCCTCGTTGCTGGTTTGGCTGGTGTTGCACGGCGGCTGGGAGGCGTGCTGGGCATGGGGGATGTCGGCTGGTGCTGGTGGCCTTAGTTTTTTCCGGCGGTTGGGGCGGACTTTTATTGCCGGGTGCACGGTGACCTGTGCAGCGCGTTTGCTGCCGGGCTGGGACTTGCTGCTGGTGTTTCTCTCCGCTGGCTTTCGCTGTCGTGTTGTTCCGTTTGCTCTCTCTCGTTTGCCCGACCTCGCACGCGGGATAACTGGTTGGACTTTGTCTGTCTAGTGGGTACAATATGATAGACAGGGTTGAACAAATGGCTATAACAAAATAATTTAATTTAAAAGACCTGTCCCCAGATGAAAGCATTGTTCTCAGCTGAAGAATGATTCACACACGGTTCAGTCAGTGTTGTCCGGACTTTGAATGTGGTGTCCAATTTTTCCTGGACACCTGCCAGAAAGAAAAAAAGCTGAAAATCAAATGCTTAATAGTTTTTTTGATATTTGTTGATTTTTGTGTACCTTGATTAAGTGCAATGAGCTCCGAAAGACTATTTCCACTTCATTGATGGACCCTGTGGGTGAAGTCTGGTGAACTACCCAATGAGAAAGAACGCAATGTGTTCCAGAAAATTCTTCTCGTCAAGGAATTAACTTTTCTTCAACAACATGTTCTTCTACAGAACGTCTTGGGTTACGTATGTAACCCTTGTTCGTGGCAGGGCTGAACTATGTGCCGGGTGCAGAAGGAAGGTCCAGACTGTAAAACCGGATAAAAGTGTGAGGGGTGGTCCAGCCAGCCGCGTCACAATAATCCTGGGGTGACGCCCCTGCAAGGAGGGCCCGAGTACAGTGCGCCCTTACGGCCATAGGTGAAGGCAAACTGCGCACCTGATAGGCCAGGGAAATAGTCTTAACGATCCAGTTGCTGATGGTGTGTTTAGAAGCGGGGAGCCCAGCCTTGGGGGACCCGAAACACACCAGCAACTGGTCTGCTTTCCTCCACCGGGAAGACCTCAGAGTGAAAATACTCAGTGCTCCGACCGGGCAGAGCAGATGAAGTATCCCGTCCTCCGCCGTCACATGAGGTGGGGAATGAAACGCCTGCAGCACCGTGGACCCTGCCAGTCTGGCCGGAACCTTAGGGACATAACCTGGACAAGGGTGCAGGATGGCCCTGACCCTCCCAGGGGCAATAGTTTCATTCATAGTTCAGCCCTGCCACGCCCAGAGGCGTTCCCGTAGTGTCGTCACCGACACAGTTCGAGTTCCCTCGAAGGGGAACTTAAATATGTAAATGCATGTGTATTTATGTAAACTATATTCTTTTGTTTTTAGATTTTGCATATTTAAAAATAGAACAGTTATTCAGGTGTTACTATTAGTTTGACAGCACTGCATGAACAGGGCCTCAGGTCCCACATGTTAAATCATCATTTATTAATCAGGAAACATCTGTAAAACCTCCACCACAGGTTGGATCTCCTTCACCACTGTGCTGCTGTATGTTTTCTCTATTCCTTTCATCATCGTCTTCCTCTCAGGGCTGACACTGATGATAATCTGTATTCAGAGGAACACCAAACCTAAAGGTGAGGCAACAGGAAACTCTTACACAGCAACAACAACAAGTGAAACTTCCCATTTCTCATTAAAAAAAGCATTTCAGTCAGGACGCTCACGTCAAAGTTTTAAAGACTTGCAACAATACATACTGTAGTTTGACAGTGTGGCTCTGCTCATGTAATTCTCTGGAACAAATCTGAGCAACAGACTGTCCCTGAGCTCACACAACCACAAAATGTAATGAACTAAATGCTAATACATGAGGAATGTGCACAATGAGATTTGTTTTTTTTGGTTTGTTTCATCATTTATAATAGAGAAAAATACTTTGTCTGTTTCACAGGTTTGCAGACCAGAGGAAATTCAGATGGCACAAACATGGAGGTGACTTTCTTTAACTCTTTGATTACTCTCACTGTTGGATAAGATGTACCAATGTAGGTGACAACCATTAAAGATGCCAATCCTCAGGATTGGAATCAGGGTGATATTTTAACATGCTGATCCTTTCTTTACTGAACTCTGCTGTGTTTACTCACGTTGTTGAGTTGCAGCGCAGCTCTCCTTCACGCCTACAGTGCAGCTGTGGTGTATAACATATGCTTTTGACATTACAGTTTAACATAATGCTCTGCAGCTGGTGAGAGGAACAGTGAACCCTTATGGGGGAAGTAATGATTGATGGGTGTGCAAAGAGTGAACCCTTCTATGAAATTTGACCTCTGACCCAGTGGTAGGGGGAGTAGAGATTAGTGTCTATGAAGGAACTGTGCCCTTATATGGTTTTTAGCAGAGACCTAAACATGTCCTATATAAGCTGTGTTCGATGTACAGAGAGACAGAGTGGCCATCAGGCTGGGTCACTCTCCAAGCTGCTGCAGAGCTTGTAATTGATGCTGAATTCTTTGATGTAATAAACTTTTTATAATCAAGAACAGTGTCAAGCGGATTTCTTCTCAACACATCATCGCAGCATTATCGTTCGGACACCACACAGCATTGTTCATTTTCACGCATGCGTGAAGGATCTTGGACTCTTCCGTTCACTCGTCACACGTCAGCTGCATGGGCTCCGTCAGTAGAGGAAACAGAATTGATTAGTTCACGACTCTCAACTGTGGGTCTGTTTGAGTCATTCATTCGTCACGTGACAGCTCCTACTGTGGAGCAGGAATGAACTACGCATTCACCGCTGATATTCTCCTCAGTCTTTTGTTCAATCTGCAGGCTGAGTTACTGCCACCGCCGGAGAATGAGAGGCTACGATGGCCCATAGGTCTCAGGCCTAATACAAACTAACTAAACTAATTCTGTTGTGGCTTTTGTATTAGGCCTGAAACCTACGGGCCACCGTAAGAGGCAGGTCGGCTGTTAGGTAACAGTCACTGGACTGACATTATATAGCTATTTTGATAATGTAACATTTAATAAAGCATAACGTTATTACAGAGCAGTGATGTTGTGCTAAGTTATAGTTTTAACACAGCCGTACTGTAACTTTAGTCCTGCTAGTGTTTAACATTAGAGCTAACAGCTTATGAGAGTTGTTCTGGGTCCACTTCAGAGCCCTGACAGGGTTCTACCTGGAGCTGAATTACCTCAGAGGTCGTCTCCTCTCCAAAACAAACAGACCCGGTCATTAAAACATTAAAACACAGCCACGTAGCAACGTTAGCGTTAACCCTGTAAACAGCTAACAGCTGATCCAGGTCTGCCAGAGAACGCAACGTAACTTTTCCTTTTTATTTACCAACAGAGCCGTGCTGTTGTTTCACAGCTCCTGACTGGTGAACAACCTGCAGTGTTTGAGAGATGTACTCATGTTCTCTGTTTTAGATCTTCAGATTCACAGTTTTAGTTTGGACGGGAGGTGGAAATGTAGCAAAAGGTCTGCGTTTTAAAACAAAAATGTTGTAGTGTGGAAGGGGCCTAAGACGTCTGTAAGCTCCTCACACTACAGGATCATTTGTTCTGACCAGCCTCAGCTTGGGAACAAAATGTATTCCAGGTGTAGGAGCCAAATGGGTTGTTTTCCTCCAAGCCACAGGGGGATGATGATATTGCATTGTGTTATTAGGGCCGATTCTGGCCTCATGTAATTTAAGTTCCTGTACTGATGCAAACAGGTGTTTGAAGAGGAGCAAACAGGTTTTTTTTACTGTGCTCGGATTATGTTGTTTGTTTTACTTTATATGATTTAGTGTTATGGATTGGAAGTGGACGCTGTAAGGACGCAGGAAATAAATGCCTTAAACTGCAAGCTATTGGAAAACACTGGATCGCTTTTCTGAGTACACGTTAGAAACAATAATCCAAATTAGCAACCAGTCGCGGCTAAAGTTTAGGACTTAGTCACTACACCAGGTTTTTGCCTTACAGACTGGAGGAGAGGTCATTTTCAAATAATCATTTACTTATTTTTATCAAAATGACATCATACACTTAGATGTATGGTCTGTACTACGAAGCGGGTAACTGGCTTATTCACGTAACTTCAGGAGTAACTTGGTGTCGGGTGTAACTTCCTGATTAACCCGTACTACGAAAGGTGGATAGGTGTTACTCGAGGTCTGTTGCCATGGCAATTTACGCCGCATCTCTAAACTGCTCCGAGCAGGTTTTGCTCGTGGTTAACTCGAGGTTACCCTACACATGGACTACAAACCACATCTGTACTCAGTGTTACTGATGAAAAGGGTATTAATAAACACCACTTCATAAAATATGTTTAGATTTCATCCTGATTTGCTCCACTGCGGTTGGAATGAAGTTCTGAACACAACAGCATTACGTTCAGACAGCGAGCCCTGCAGCCGGTGGGGATTTTAGAGAGTTTCTTATATGTAGCCCATCTGTAGTCTATAATTGAAGTGTTTTCACATATTTAGATGACTATTTTACGTGTCCAAAAATAAGGAGCCAGGGTGGGGGTTAGGCTAATAACTGAGAGAAGAAAAAATTACCTAGATGAAAATAAAAATAAATGATAAAAATAAATGATAATAAATAATAAAAAATTGAAAATCACTCTGTTTTCTTCTGAATACGTCCGATCCAAGGCAAAGTCTCTAAGGTGCATGATAGTGATTGTGGGCTAAACTCACGAGTTTTTCCTCACTGTTAAATCCGATTAAAGTTTAATATAACTTTCCACTGCATGCATAATACATGTGTGATGTTGCAGCCTTGCAAAGTTTCTCTCATAAATGTGTGACTATAATTTCAGAGAATATTCAAGTTTTTTACTTGTAGATTAATCTTGGAAATTTAATTTTCTCTCGGATTATTAGGACTACCTAGCTGGCTCCTTTTTTTTATTACAATGGACCTTATGTGCAGTTGTACCTTTACATCTTAATCATATTACACATAAAAGAGCCTGTAAAATACACACTAGAGATTTGAACTACAATAAGAACAATGGGAAGATAATTAGGCTACACATTTACTCAATGCGAAGCCAACAAGCCTCTCTGGCTTTGTTGTCCACCACAAAATTAGATTTAGTTACATTCATAATTTCCTGACACTACCAACATGCATTCCTCTGGAGAAATACAGAGCATGCGCCGTTGCGAAAAATCTCTGCCTGCACGGCCGAACACGCCCGTTTTATGCGAACACACACCACCTCCAACTAAGTTATTATTAATAATAATATATTATTATTATTAAGTAATTCCCTCAGGTAAAGTCTGGAGAGATGTGGACTAAAGTGTAGATAAAGGGCGCAAAAGGTCTGTGAGGGACACTGGCGGTTCTAGATTATTGAGGGGGCCAGGCTGGGGCCCGTTGTCTGAGGGGCACATTCAAAAGAGACATAATAATAATAATAAATAATAATACCTTTCATAGCACTCAAGGACACCTTACAGATTAAAACAGTTAAAGGCAATGTTCAATCTTTCAAAATGTCTTATTTAGTGTATAATGAAATTTTTTAGTATGTTTCAGTAATATGATATTTTCAGTAACTTAGTTATATCCATACATCCATTGTCAACTGCTTCTCCTTGATTTTACAGTATCAATGGTGTAGATATTTGTAGGAGCAGCTTACTCGGAAAAGGTGATTACTGCTGAAACAGTCTTACTTGTACTTTACTTGAGTATTTAAAATTTCTAATTATAATGCCTTTATTTGACATTTATAATTACTTGTTGCTTTAAAAGACAAAAACAAACACATAATATGCTGATATTATATGATGCAGTACAATACTACTAATCAATTATCAAGTCTTCTTCAATACAGAATGATGTTGTGAGTAAAATATGATGATAAAGAAAAAAATAGGTGATTCTGATTAGCTGGAAGGTGTGGATCAACTTTTAGTAATCAGACAACATAAACAGACGCCTGTGATGATGATTGCAGTTCTATATAAATGCACCAGTACTGAACTGGACGTAAAGAAAACATTGAGGATTGTGTTACAACATAAATGTGCAGGTAACCTCAGACCCTGCAGTACAAATATAGATGATGGAGAGGGGAGGAGAGGGGAGGAGAGTAGAGCTGTGTGTGTGTGTGTGTGTGTGTGTGTGTTTTGTGTTTGGAGGAGGGACTCCATCATTTAAAGAAGTTAGAAGTTCCTGGTTTGTCAGTGAAGAAGTCAGAGAGGCAGCAGTAAACCATCAGAGCCTCAACATGAAAGTCCGTCACACTTTGATCTGCTTCTTCTTCCTCTGTGAGTATTCACTTTGGATTTCTGTCTCTCTCTTATTATGTATTTTTTCTTTATTTATTCTCATGAGTTAAATATGATGATCAGAGTCAGGTATGAGGCACTTTAATGGATGTTCAAGTCTGTCTGAAAACAGTCCTCACATAGAATGTGGATTTCACCTCCATCTTTTTGAGCTCTTTTTGAGGATAGTACATATCCTTTAAAATATAGTCCAGTAATAGTTCTTTAGTTAACTTTCTTAAAATGAACTGCACATGAGGAAGGAAAATGAAGGGCATAATCTTACACGGTTAGAAGAGAATCGAATCCCAACATCTGAGAAGCTGGAACCAGCAACTGTTTGACATTTTGACCTGTGAAATGCAAAAAAGAATAGTTGCCATTAAGTGATTAATTGTTGCAGCTCTACTTGTTTTCAAAGGTAACAAAGTGCAATTTTGTTGCTTGTTGCTGTATTTTATGGTGACAGAGTTTGTGTGTTCTGTTGCTTCAGCCTGACTGTTAGTGGACTTTGTTGTAGCTTCACAAGATTTGATATAACTTCTGTATGTAGTAGATTTTACAGAAAGATATCACACAAACAGGAACAAAAGAAATGCATGGATTTAAGAACTGGATAAATAAACATCACATTTTACATCACATTAAAAAAAAATTCATAACCTACTGATCACTGTTTACACATCTAACAAATCCTGCTAAAGCTCTGATGTAAATACAGTCAGTCAGTTCTGTGTTCTGATAAACGGGAAGAAAGAGTTACAGAATGTTGAAAGTCTCACTGAACTCTTGTGGTTTGTGGCTTAAAAACTGACCTGAAAGTTTTAATCTACAATATTTATGTTCACATTTTGTCTGGTTCTCCTTTTTAATACTGATTTCAGTATTTCATATGTTTTGTTGGGGCTCTGTTACTGTTGTTCTGCTGTATAGTCTGTTTTCCACTTTAAAATTAATATTTAATTCTAAATGGATGTTTTTA